AAATTTATTTGTGAAATTTGCATAAATAGCAATCTTTTTTATTTTAAGATGAGTGGAACTTTTTTTTTTTTTGGCTTTTTCTAATTGTTAATCTTATATATTTTTTAAATTTATTTGTGAAATTTGCATAAATAGCAATCTTTTTTATTTTAAGATGAGTGGAACTTTTTTTTTTTTTGGCTTTTTCTAATTGTTAATCTTATATATTTTTTAAATTTATTTGTGAAATTTGCATAAATAGCAATCTTTTTTATTTTAAGATGAGTGGAACTTCTTCTTTTTTTTTTTGCCTTTTCTAATTGTTAATCTTATATATTTTTTAATTTATTTGTGAAATTTGCATAAATAGCAATCTTTTTTATTTTAAGATGAGTGGAACTTCTTCTTTTTTTTTTTGCCTTTTCTAATTGTTAATCTTATATATTTTTTAATTTATTTGTGAAATTTGCATAAATAGCAATCTTTTTTATTTTAAGATGAGTGGAACTTCTCTTCTTTTTTTTTTTTTGCTTTTTCTAATTGTTGATCTTATATTTTTTTAATTAATTTTTATTTGTGAGGTTTGCATAAATAGCCGAAGAGGTTCAAACCCACAACTCTAGCATGGGAAAGCATTCCCAAGACCCCTTCCTTACCACTAAGCCATCAATTAGTTTTGCTAAGGGGTTCACAAGTTAATATACATATATATTTATTTAATTTTTTAATACAAGTATAGAGTTTACATAAAAGCTATTGGGTTCGCCCGAACCCCCACTAAGATAGGCATAAAAGTATCAATACATTTATTTTTATGAAGGTAAATACCATTAGATGTAACTTTTCAAGAATGAAAACATGTATTAAAACAAAACTGAAAAGAGTAATAACATAAGTGAGAAAAAAAGACAAGAAATGTAGAGAGACAAGAGAGAGTTTTCTTATTCTTCCAAGTATATTCAAGTGTTTTCCAAATCTTCAAGTGCATAATACAATCTCAAGACCTCTATTTATATTGTTATAAAAAGACATACAAAGAGATAACAATAAACATGATATTAATTTTTGAGAATGTAGGGAAGATCAAGGGGTGTAGAAGATAAATGAGGAGATGGTGAAGGTGTGAGTATTATTACATATAATGGTGAAATTACACCTTGAAGTTATGGACATCCACATTAATATAATATATTTACAACAAAACATTAATTACATATAAATTATAACTAAATTAAAAATGATGAGAAAAACATAAAAATGCCCCCAAAAAAGGAGAAAAAAATTAAATATGAATAGAGATCATAGAGAGGTGTCACGTCACTTTGTCTATATCTAGCTTTATTTTTATTTTATATATATATATATATATATATATAAGAATAGAGGTCATAGCCTATATCTAGCTTTATTATATATATAGATTTTTCTTCAGTTTTTGTTGGTTTTCTCTTTTTAAATTTATTTATGTAATACGTAATAATAATAATAATAAAAGAGCCTTATTTTCCCCCAATTTTCATTGGTTTTTTCTTTTTTAAAATTTATTTATGTAAATATATTCTTTTTAAAATTTATTTATGTAATTTTATTTTTTTTGGAATATTTTTATATCTATTATATTTTTAATAGCTCAAAAAATATTAATTCAATTGAATGAAAAGAGAAAATCGGGTTATTTTAATCAAAATTGAACAATTTGAGTTGATTTGGGGCTTTCCGTCAAATGAGGGGTATATATGGTGAAATTAGTAACGGTAGGGAAAAAACTAACTTCACTTTAACGGTAAAAGCATAGTTTACCAATAAAACAAAATTAAGGGGTGTTTTTGACCCTTTTCCCTTATCTTTTTCATAGGTAGCAGTGGATACTGGATACATTTGTTAAAGTCATATACTCAATAATATAGTAATTTTTGTTTATATTTTTTATGAACTAATGAAATTGCAAGAATTATCACTTAATAAGCGAGTTTTCAATTTTTGTTCTTCAACGGTCGAATTTATATCTAGTAAAATATATATTCTGTAAAGGAGAAAAGTCATGTAAGGCATAAGTTGCGGATATTATAATGCAAGTATGTATATATATATATCAGAAAATAATTTATCTTGAACACAAAAATTAAAAATTAGCACAAAATAAGGACAAAAGTGCAATATTTGTATATATATGTGTTATCTGAAAGTTATTTATCTTGAACACAAAAATTAAAAATTAGCACAAAATAAGGACATAAGTGCAATATATGTATATATATGTGTTATCAGAAAGTTATTTATCTCGAACACAAAAACTAAAAATTAGCACAAAATAAGGTCAAAAGTGCAAAAATTTTATACTTTCGCTCTCCCGACTCAAGCTAATACGTTAAAAATTAATGGAAAAATTATACAAAATAGTAAATATTTAGCCTGTATTAGGTGATATAGCTATAGTTTTAGAAAATTGTAATTTGCGGCTATAATTTTTTCAATTCTTGCTATTGACCTGATTTGTATAATTCGCATAATTTGTATAAATCTAGAATTTGTATAATTCGGTTCCTGATAGTAAAAATCCAGAATTTTGTATATGTTTACCCTAGTTATTTGTATACGATTTATTATTTATAATAAATTACCTTGTTTGTATATTGACAAGCGAAATATATAAATGGAGTTCTGAAAAATTCATAAATGTATAATACATAATTTGTATATATTTATCCTATTGGTATATTCGCAAGCGAAATATACAAACCACAGCCTCCATATCAAACAGAACTATAGCTATGGAGCGCAGTTATTAGAGCTTTATTATGTTTGCTATTTCTAAAATTTTCTCAAAATTAAAATAGACTATGTTTTTCGGTCTTATTTCAATAGGCTCATATGGTATATAATTTGAAAGCCTAGGTTTTTTTTGTTTTTTTATATCAATATTCTTTCAACTTAGCCGATTGACAATTAATTAAATCGATGACAAAACTATTGATTTCGTAAATTTGAGTGATGAAAATCAAATTAGAAAAGTAACTAACAAATGAAATATTTTATGTTAGTGAATGAATGAAATTATAGGCTTCTTAATTACAAGATTTGGATAATTTTCTTTCTTTTGAATTAATTTTTAAAGTGTGAGTTGTACTCAAAATCTAATTTAACATGACATTAAAGACAAACCTGATGTGGGCTCCCAGGAAACCAAACAATTGCGGAGGTGGAAATTATTTTCTATTCATGAATGTGAGCATGTGACACACCGAATTGGATCATGAAATCTCATATAAAGAATTTGGATTTGTACGGTATATATGAGGATAATAATGAAAGAAATGTCTCACATCAATGATAAATAAAATCCTAAGCTTCGTTGTTCAACAAGTGAATTCAAATTTTTAGATTCTTTAATATCTTGATGTTAAACTAAAAAATATTGGTTTATAATTACTCTTAATTATTTAATTTTTTGTCGGTTTGCTTCACGGGTGAGCATGTATAATTAATTACTAGTGTACTTGTCCGCGCTTCGCGTGTGTATAAGAAAATATTAAATATATTTTTAAATAATTAATGCCATTATTTGATAAATATTCTTATAAATAATATAATAAAAGGGAGAAATACAAATTAAGTTACGATTCTGATATTATCTATTCAGAAAAATTGTTAAAAAAGTTTCATGCTACAGTTTCAATTTAAAATTGCTGATAAAAAAGATGAAAATATAAAAATTGATATGAAAAGCTTTAGTTAAATAAACAATCTAATTATCATAGTTTCATACTAAATTTCATGATTTTATAGCAATATTATTGATTCAACCATTAATATTAAATCTACTTTATCGTAAATTATGTGACTTTTCTTTTTTTGTATAAATGACTATATAATAGAAACAAGAAAATCAAAATATATTTGTGCTAAAATCATCGTGAGGGAAAAAATATTTTGAATTATATTCGAACATAGTTATACACAAAATTCAAAAGTTAGAGATTTTTTTTCGATATCCGATGCTCATTTTTTTTTTGATATCCGATGCACGTAGTGACACTCATTTGATACATATTTGTGTCGCATAAGATCCATTAATATTTTAATTTATATTTAAACTTTCATTCTTATAGTGTGCATTGTGAAAAGAGATACTTAAGTTGCTACAGTGAAACATTACCGTTGAGGTTATACTTTTACAATAAAAATAAAATAAAATTAAACACATAATTTTGTCGTATTAAGATTATCAGATAGCGATGAAGAAATATTTTTTTTTAAAAAAAAATGAGTATGTAGTGTTCAAGATGTAGAAAAAGTATCAAGAGTTAGATAAATTTTTTCAATTTATATATATATATGGGACAATAAAAGTTTAACAACATCAAAATAATTATTCCTATTATTACAATATTATTGTTGTAATTATTATAAATAAATTGGAGCAATAACTCTCCAAAAGATAACTCCATTTTTTGTATGTGGGAAAATAAAATAATTTTTTTACTTTTCAATAATAATAAATTTTAAACACAAATTTGTTATTAAGAGAATCAAATGATGAAATTTAAAAAATTTACTTGATAAATAAGAGAGTTGAATAAATTATTTTTTAGTATATATATATATACACACACACTTGATTATTTTTAGGGAAAAGGGTCAAAAATATCCTCAATTTTAGTTTATTAGTTAAATATACCCCTATCGTTGAAACAAAGTTATTCATACCATCACCGTTACTAATTTCTCCATTTATACCCCTCAATTGACGGAAATCCCTAAATCAAACAAAATTGACTCGATTTCTTAAAAAATGACTCATTTTCCATTTTAAAACCATGTCCGACCCATCTATCTATCTTAAACCCAAAAGAATTTAACCCATTTTCTATACCCATTCTAAAAAGAAAATTCATTTGGAGCTACTTCTCCAATTGCGTTTTAGGTGACAAAAAAGTGTTGAAATGTAAAAAGAGTGACTCTAGTT